TTCGTTGCGTTGATTAATTATAATTTAAATCACATCCAGTGAAAATGTACAAAAAGCTGACGTACCTTTCTTAAATGAGGGTGTTAAAAACTTTACAAAAAACAACCAAAAGTGTGAAATTATCCTTTTCACCTTTCTTCTCAAAAAAATATTCCTGTCTGGAGAAGAAAGTTGAGTCATATCACGAGTATCATTACCTGTTATTACTGCACTCAATTTCTAATTCATTTCTGTACTGCTGAAGTAGCTGTTTGTATGATGAGCAAGTCAGCATCTTTCTCTGCGACTTACTACTAAAATACTTACTTTGAAACTACTACTGTTTGAAACAAGTTAACACCACAGTCTTCTATTTATTTTGAAATAATCTATAATAAATAATATTTTTCACTTATTATACAAGTTCTTCCTTCTTCTTCTCATGTCACACCTAGCGGAGATTGGAAATCATCATGGCCACTGCGACTTGTTAGCAACGCGGCCTGAAAAGTTCAATCGAACTACACCCAAACCATCCACGGTAGATTACGAAGCCACGATATTTTTCTTCTTCCCACACTTCTTTTGCCCTTAATTTTGCCCTGCATGATGATTAATACAAGTTGAAAATAATATTCATTCAATAGTTTTAAATAATTACTTACAATTCTCAATCAAAAAGTAATTAAATACGTTTAGTTAAACTTTTTTGTTCAAAGTATACAAAATATTTTACTCAACGAAGTATAAGTATAATTGCTTTTTGAAGCCATTACACTGAGACTGAGCGTGAAGCTCAGTCCTCAGTGTAATAGAGCGTGGAGCTGAAACAGTTTCCCCTCCACTTTCTATGTCGATCTTTCGAAAGTACCTTCGTTTCAGAAGGGCTGTAAGATTCGAAAAATTTTGATAAATTTTATAGCTTTAAGTTTCAATATAATTTTTAGATTTTCATTCAAAATTTGTCCAAATTTTACTTCTTAATATTCATAAACAATGAAGATATTATTTTTTTTAAAATAGTCGCTAACTTCGTTCCTATTGGTATAAAAGGTTTTTTTTTTAAATGTGAGTTTTTTTACCAGCTATCCAATGGTTGTACCTACAAGTCTGTAGCTTGAAAAATATAAAGGTTATTACAATTGTTTATAAATATAAACATACCCCTTTTTTAAAACAATTATTTTGTAAATAATTTCAATGAAAACGCAATATGCATTGAACTTCTGAGATAGTTTATCGGGGGAAAATTTCGCACAACTTTTATAAAGATGGTAATTCCTCGAATGTTCAAGTGTATTACTAATATTGCATTTTGTTAATAAAAAAATTAATAAAAATTATAAATTAGTGCAAAGAAAACTGCTTTTTTGCAAATATCTCCTTAAATTATTTATAAGCTTTAATTGAAAAAACGGAAAAATAAAGATATTCTTGATATAAAGAAATGATTTAAAATATAAGGGAAAAAACTTATAAATAAAAAATCAAATTGTGACCATAACTTATTGTTTAAAAAAAACGGAAGGTAAAAATACGAGAACCTTTTCATATATTCGTCATCTAGTAACCCTCACCTAGGTCTTAGAGGCATCAGATATCTGCGAAAAATTGTGCCGTGAAATCGATGATTTTTGCATAACCAGACTGGGCTAAATAAGAACATTTTATTTTGCAGACCAGTGTAAGTCTAAACTTAATTATATTTACATCTAATATATTTAAATAAACAACTCATTAGAAAGTTTAGTCTATTAAAACTACGCCATATTCGTAATAATTCCATATACATAGTTATTGATTTATTTGCATTTATTTATCATTTGCTTGTTCTAAATGACATGCCTATAAAAGTTTTCACTGATGACTCTTCCTCCATTTCGATACGATTCACCGATTATGGGTCAAATTGTCCCTCATTGTTTATACCTAAATACCGTAAAAGCGAAACTGCACCTTTAACTGTATATTCTAAGATGTTAGGTGCTTAATTTTTGACATTGTAAAAGCAAATTAATTTTTAAAGGACAAAATGATTTCGTGATGAGTTTCACGTTATAGCATTTAACATTAATTGATAAAAACAATTTAAGAGTATTTTATTTAACACGAGTTTAAGAACATGAAGGCATTGAAGATGCTACCAACTGTATTGCAAATAAACAACATTTTAATTGACTATTTTTCTTAGGAATACACCTCAATTCCATAAGTTTTGATCAATACTTCGGAAATCGATCTCACAATATAAAAACAATATTCGTCTCAGACTTCCCTGGTTTACGCTCCCGTTATGGGTGGGTAGTAAGTAAATGGGAAGCTTCTTTTTTATTGAGGGCTAAATTATCCCTAATGGTATTTACCTCTTTGTTTGGGTTTGATGATTGAGAGTGTGTCTATAGAATATGAGTTTATGTAGGTTTTGTATGACTATTTATTCCAATTCCGTCCATACACTGACAGACAATCAAGGCCGTATGATAATCGACGGTAAAGAAGTAACTGAAGAATGGAAAAAGTATTTTAGTAACCCTCTATACATCCTACAGGAAGAACAGCACAAATAACAGATATGTATATCATAGTGGACACGCCCGTCAAAAATCCCTCCTTTGAAAAAACTCAAAAGGCCTTAAATAAACTGAAAAATCACAAACCGCCGGGTATGGACGAGATACCAGCAGAACTTCTGAAATATGAAGGAGAAGCACTACATCGCCAAATCCACCAGCTAATAACGCACATATGGTTAGAAGAAAGGATACCAGCACGATGGATGGAAAACATTATAGTGCCATCTACAAAAAAGGGGGACAAAACAAATGAGTGAATTATAGAGAAATCTCACTCCTAAAGCACGCATGTAAAACCCTCTCAAACATCATTCTTAGTAGATTAATCCCTTACGCTGAAAATGTCCTAGGCGAATACCAAGCCGGTTTTAGAGCAACACAGATCAACAATAGATCAACCTATCACGCTGAGACAACTTCTAGAAAAGGATGGGGGTATAACAGACCCATACACAATCTTTTCGTAGACTTTTAATATCGAATTAAAACCACTCTTCAACGACTCCGATATTGTCTAAGAAATAAATCACAGCGACTAAGATGGGCAGGCCACGTGCACAGACTTCATAAACCGAAAGACTTGTAAAACTGGTATGAGAGGAGATTCCAACAGGCAAAAGACCTCTCGGACGTCCCAGAATGCGATGGAGAGATTACATTCAACCAGATCTCCGGAAAATGAACATTCCATTTGACCCTAGGTTGATGGAAGAGCGAAACAAATTGGAAAAAAGTTGTACAGTCAGCCAAGACCCACCCAGGGTTATAGCGCTACGTGATGATGAAAATAGTATGACTCCTGAGGGTGACATAATAATGGGTAGGATAATGATTTCTTGGCAAACTGTTTTAGCTGTTATGGTTGTGCCTATCTGTATAGTCTGCACTAGCGAGAAGTTCATATGCCATTTACATTGTCTCCGGAAATTGGTGACATCTTCTGCATTTATCGTCTAGTATGTTAGGGTCTTTCAAGATATGTTTCATGTAATTTTTAGTTGCTATCACCTGTTCTTAAATTGCTAGTATGAGATCCGGTCTATTATGTGCCACTTTTTTGACTATAGTGCGATCTCAGTAGAGCTTGTAGTTGTCGCCTTCAAACATTCTTTCAGTGATGTATAACCTTCTTTTTTCTTCTAATTGCATTTTTTATAATTAGTTTTCCGACAAACGCCTGTCAGCCCCGGTAAGATATTGGATGATTTCTTGTGCTTGAAATCCATATCGTGTTTATTGGTATCGGTATTTATCGATATTTATAACCATATCGGTTTTTAATCTAAGGGTCTTTAGCAATATATTTCACTTAATTTTTAAGTCCAATAACTTTATCCTGACTGAATGGAAAATGAGGAACCCTCTGTCTTGGAAAGCATTCTTCTTGATGCCAACCATTAGTTCGACGCTTGTATTCTCGACATATTCTTGACTCATCTCATTAAGATGCCATTCATGCAGAGGTTTATTCATCCAGGTGCGCATTTTTCCTTGCTTAAACAGGCGGTTTATGAGCATTTCTTGTTTCCTCAGTTTAAGCGATTCTGTGACATCTACTGCGCAAATTACGCGATGTAAAGTAGATGCCTCAACCCACGTCTAAAAATAGGTTTTTAAATTAGCAAATTGTTTATTCAGTTGCTCATCTATGTCAATAAGTTCTCTTCTCCCTTGATACTGCGGTAATGCTGTATCTCTCTACTAACACTGTTTTGCGCCTTTTGATGTTGGATGACGTATTTTGTGCATTTGTAAGAAGTGTTCTTAGTTTCTGTCTGAAGAATTTCTGAATCCGTTTTTACCAAATATAATTTAAATATAGTCATAACCGAAAAACATAAGGATACAATTGAGTAATATTTTTAAACTTTTTTTTATTTAAATACCAAACCCACATCAACCGCACATGGATATAAAATGGATTTAAAAAACACAAGAAATATTTCACTCTATGTCTTTTAAATAGGTTAACACGGTTGAGATTTTTTTGGTGAGAACTGTTTTAAGATCATCATCATACTGTAATTTTCTTTCTTCAGAATCTTCTTTCTTTCAGAATTGCGGACAATCAAGCAGGATATGTTTAACGATTACTGGATCAGAGCAGCTGGAGCCAATTGTTAGTAGCCCTTTTGTTGTTAGGTTTTTGTGTATTAAGACAGTATGGAAAATTTTTAGACAGCATTTATTTTTGGGCAGACTGCACTGATTTTTCCATGTATTAGTACAATTGATTTCATCCAAGTTCTTCAGATCGGCGCAAGCGCTTCCCTAGTAAAGATCGGAATATTTCTAGTTCGTTTTCTTTTAATCTATAAAATAGAGTCATTTGACATAAATTTCTTTTAATCCCAGTAACGCATTTAATGATTTAACGCGAATTATGTTATGATATTCATTTCAATGTTTAAAGTTTTTTCAATTTTATATATATCCATTTTATTTCAGGGAAAAATACCAACGTTCCAGAAGCGACGGATTTCTTAAAAGATTATGATATCGAAGGATCAGAAGTATGTTTTCGTGTCAACTTGGCCCAATGGCACTATGCTACAAATATGACGGATCTACAAAAAAGAAAAATGATTGAAGAACAAACGCTCAAAGCTAAATTCGATAAACTGGTATGGAAAAGAGCAGCTGTTTTCGATTGGACCCATATAAATGATCCCGATATCAGAAGACAATTAAAGATGTTAACTACAAATACCAAGAGCAAGTTTACCCGATGACAAATATAACGAGGTGAGGTTGACATTGTTTCTATGATTTATTTATTACATTACAATTAACTGGAATACTCCCTCATAATCCGATTGGAACTTATTTCTGTTTTGAAGTAGTATGAACGTTGAGTAAATGTCTGGTTACTATTTAAGGCAAATTAAATATTTTTTGAAAACTGCAGCTTATTATATTTGAACTACTGCAGCGCCTCGGACAGTAGCAATCCCAAATTTTTGCTTGAAGATTAACGTTTTAAACATTCTGCTACCACGGCTGCCCATAACTCAAACACAAAATATAAAATTATATATTTTATTTAAACCTAAATACAATTGTTGAAGAATAAATTGTACTATATTCATGTATTTTTAGACTAGGCAATGCCGTATTTAATTAACTAAACTAATTGTTATAAAAAAAATGAGTATATTTGAATTTTAAGGTGCTAAGTGTTTAGGGATTATTAGTGATTTTAGGGATAAAAATAATCCGAGTTGTCCTAATATACCCATATGAAAAGTGCAACTAGGTAGTTACGTGTTCGTGATTAGTAAATCATGAGGAAAAAACCAGGAAAAAAACTTCATAATACTATTCTGACATGGTAAGTATTTGGTTTGATCATTGGAGAACACATACTGAAATTGGTCTGGGGTGACCATGGAACACTAAATAGAGAATTCTTGGTAAGTTGGACACTGATTCCGGCTTCGGATTATCCTGGATGATAACTAACTGCAATCTTCAAAACACGGCCACTCAATTCCTTTTTAAAACCATGTGGACCTCTCAAATAGTTAAAAAACGCCGTCTTACAAATCTCCCACATAGGACACAGCATAAACAATCGGTGAATAACTCAACAAAAACGGCCAAATAGCTTTTTGAGCCCAAATTAAACCTTTCAACTTAAAAAAAATTGCCAGCTTTTGAAGACTACACGCCGAAAGCAGCTATCTCTTTCTAAATCTAAATCTCCTCCTCAACTTTTAATTACTACTACCATTTTACACTATATTCCATGACAAAAAAATGAAATAAAGAACAACAATAACGAATTTAAAAAAATAAAAATGCAGACTAAACAATGAACTGACCACTTTGGCGATACATCGTAGAGTAAAATCATAATCTCTCCACATCACTTTCCCACCAACCTAAGTGGATATTTATTTAACGCGTTATATTAAACGGAATAAGAATCAAAAAAATGCAATTAAAATTAATATAAACAGACCAGAAATGATTATATTATCAATCCCCGGGGCGTAAAAGGATTGAGAATATTTTTCAATGTTTTAACTTGTACGAGGGGAAATGGAAATGCTACATTGTTTCGCCCTCCCCTTTTATTTAAGGCATCACACGCTCTAATTGGACCAATAACAACGGAGATATGATGTAATGCCCTTTTGTCAATGTCGCCATGTTTATTTTTTTCGTAATTGTACCACACTGGGGTACAAAATTAACCTTTCACTCAATTTTTTTGTGTTTTTTTGGTGTTTAGATTAAAACTTATATAATTTGTTTGAATTGTATTTTATGCCTTATTACCGATAATGTTTTTCTTGTTTGAGCCTGTTTAGATCTTTTGTGCAAACAACAACACTTTTACACATACTGTTTTGTTATTAATGTAAAATAGTGGCCGTATATAAATAGTATTAATTTAAGTTTTATTGTGGTACTGTACCTGATTATAACTTCTGCTGTAGGTGTTTGTATTGTCTTCTGTTTAAAACTTGTATTTAAAAAAATATAACACTAGAAGAAGTAGCACAAGATGTTGCTTTACAGGATAATGGGCATTCGTTACGTAGCAAATGCTTAATAAATTTCTCAAAGTACAGTATTTTATACAATACAAAGATTTCGGGAAACAGAAAAATACACCAGGAGTCCAGGTCAAGGTAGACGAAGAACCACAAGTCAAGTTGAAGATCGCTTTCTTGGTTACAAGCGTTACGCGACCGTACCTTATCCGCGTCCGTACTTGTTCAACGATTAAATGATATCCATAGAAAACACAGTTTCCGTTTATAACCGTTCGAATGACGTTTAAATCAATACGGATTAAGGTCCAGAAATACCTGTCACGATACCTCTATTAACAGATCATTGGAAGTAACGTTTACATTTCACTCTTCTTCTTCATGTACCATGTCCTTTCAGAACGTTGGTTACCATCATAGCTATTTTAATTTTATTCACTGCCACCCTAAATAGCATGCTTGTATCTACACCATACCAATCTCGCAAGTTCTTCAACCATGAGGTTCTTCTTCGTCCTGGACTGCGTTTGCCTGCTATTTTTCCTTGCATGATATTTTGTAGCAATCTATATTTGGGACCTCTCTTACATGTCCGAAATATTCCAGCTTTCTCTGCTTGATGCTTTTTATGATCTCAGTAGTCTTGCTGAGACGTTCTAGTACTGTGGAGTTACGAATCTTCTCCACCCAGGAAACTCTTAAAATTCTTTCTATAGCACCACATTTCGAAAGCCTCAAGGCGATTTAGATCGATTTTATTCACAGTCCAGGACTCGACAGCATAAAGTAAGACCGAGAACACGTAGCAGCGAAGTAGGCGGATCCTTAATGCCAATTTTAGGTCTCGTTACATAACACCTTGGACATCTTCTAAACGCAGCTCTAGCCTGCTCTATTCTGGATCTAATTTCGCCGTGATTTTTCTGCATTACAATTTAATTGCTGTCCAAGGTAGACGATTTTATCAACTTGCTCAAGTTTGGTATTATTTACATATATAGACGTTTTATATTCTGTTGTTTATTTGTTTGTTTACTTATTACGAGTATTTTGGTTTTCCTTATGTTAAGATCCAGACCTGCCTCCCTACAACTCTCAACGACACTATCAAGTAGTGTTGGCAGATCTTCTTGACTAGAAGCTAGGAGTACTGTATCGTCCGCATATCGCAAATTATTGATGACTTCTCCGTTCACAAGTATTCCTTCTTGTTTTTCAGAAAGTGCTTTTTCTGAAAATTCTTTCGGAGTAAACGTTAAAAAAGCAGGGGTGACAAGAGGCATCCCTGCCGTACTCCTCTTTTAATATTGAGAGCTTGTGATTCCATACCATCTACTAAAACTGATGTTGTTTGATTCCAATATAAATTTGCAATTATTCGAACATCTCTGCCGTCCAAGCCAATGTCTTTTAGAGCTTAGATCAATATAGAGTGCTTAACACGATCAAACGCCTTTTGAAAGTCAATTAAAACAACAGTATATGTCTACAGATATATCACGACATCTTTGAGCAAGTACGTTCATTCCAAACAGTGCCTCTCTCGTTCCAAATCCGGTTACGGAAAAACCAAACTGAGTGTCATCCAGGTATTCCTTACATTTATTGTAGATACTACCATGTATTACCTTCAGAAAAATTTTCAATAAGTGGTTTAACAAACTGATGGTTCTATAATCAGCACAGGTTTTTGCTGTTGTCTTCTAGGTAGAGCTATAAACATTGAGTTAGACCAACCATTAGGTAGTTTGTCCGCTGGTATAAATGGTAATTGAAAAACGAAGTTATAGCCTCTAAACATTGCTATCCTTTATAAGCTTATATATTTCCGTTGGAATTTTATTTCACTCGCGAACATTTTAATTGAGGTGTTGATGATTGGAGTGCTGTGCTTTTCACGAATTAATCTAGACTTAACAGATACTCATCAGAAGGGTGGTATAATATATGGAGAAAAGTTGATGAACGTTATCAGCAATGTTGTTTTACTCCGAGAGTTCAATTTGGTGGAGGTGGTATAATGGTGTGGGCAGGCATTTTCCTAGAGGATTATACAGAACGTGTAACAATTCAAGGGGGCAATTTGAACGCACAACGGTATTTTCAGCGAAGTTTGGAAGATAATGTAGTGCCATTTGCCTTCATTTCCCCAAGCAGACTTTGCTGTCTTAATCCGAAGTATGTCTGATCGAATGAGAGCCATGACGTCAATTTGCATTGAGGTGACGGTTTTTTTGCTTCTTCGGGAATGCTTTTCCCCATTCAAAGTGCAAACGTTGTTAAGCAAGTTTTAATTTCAACAATTACTGCTCAAACAAACAATAAACAGCGAAGATAATTATAATCCTATATTCGTTATTAATTATAAAATTATGTTTTTTAGATATATCATCTAATATCTGAAATGAAAGATATTTACGCTACAACAAGAATATGTCCCTACAGAGCAGATTTTTTTGCCAACGAAATAAGTTACTGTGATTTGGATCTTGACGACGTCCATACAATAATGGCTAGATCGAGAAATCCCATAGAGTTGGCACACATATGGAGAGAAGTACATAACAAAATGGGACCCCCTATGAAAAATAAGTTTATGCGATATTTGGAATTGGCAAACCAAGCTTCTAGATTGAATGGTATGTTTTTTAAAGTAAATATGTAGATTATTGTTTGATACTATTACATTCAATAGTTTTAAGCACAATGTTATTTTGATCAATTCTGAGTTTTCTTCTTTTTCTTCAATAACTTATCCGGTCTAGATGTTATTGATCATCAAGGCTATCATAGTTTTTGTTAAGCGCTCTTTGAAACGGTTAAGTATAGGTCATTACAAACTATTGCCGGAAGTTTTTTAGCCGCGAGATACGACAATGTTTTGGTGAACTTACAGGCAAATACTTTGCTCTGAGTTAAATAATTCAATACCTTTCTTCTTTGCTCATTACATGATGTTACTCATTATGTTATATGATGATTCGAAACTCCTCGCACGTTTTCGCAGATATTTTGTTTGGCAGTGCTACAGATGTTGACAACTTTGATTCCTCTGGTATGTCACATAAGTCGTATATGCCGATGAACAGTACACTTTTTTGTGCTTTTACAGCTTTGGATTGTGAGTTGATGACCTAGGTGTTCTTACAATTGTGCTTTTCCTCTCCTGCTGGATCTTGGTATTCGCAGTCTATAATCAGTAGCTTCGCCAATTTGGTGTCATTACCCATAATGATTGTATTTAAGGACTAGGTGGTTTCCGATTGCCTATCACATAGCGGTTTCACGGTCTGCTGACTCATAATGCGAGTGAAACCTGTGAGTAATATTGACATGACTGCTGCCTAAGACATTTATATCGTATTCCAAAGTAATTGGAAATACGTTACAATCTCTATACATCTTCAAGATCTAATTTAGTTATCTGATCCTTCCCATGTGTGAGTATAAAAAAATATGTATATTCATTATTTATTATTTGATCGTTTAATGAAATTGTTATGAACAAAAAAAATTAAGGGTACCCCCTTAAAAAAGTCAAAATGTTTAAGTGTTTAGTTAATGTGTTAGTGTTTAAAAAATAAGGCTTAGCACAATTTTAGGTGGTCATCCCCCTCCCCTCAACCCTTACCAACAAAAACTTCAATTTGTCGTTTTTATATTTTTTAGGTGGAATAAAATCAATTTAAAAATTTCAAAAATTCACTCGCCTAGTTGAGACTTTTACAAACTTGTATATATAGACCCGTAGGTTAAGTGTATATAACCTAAAAATGCATTTTTTTTTTAGAAACACCTTTAAAATTCCAAAAAAAAAACATGTTTTTCACTTTTTAAAAGGTTTTGGCTGGTGTAATCATATGTTTTGAAATTGACACAACCAATTGACACTGAATTTACAATTTTCTCATATTTTTACTTTTTACGTGATTAAAAATAAGACTCAGCGCAATTTGTCTATTTTTAAAGACCCGTAGGTTGAATGTACATAACCTAAAAATGCATTTTTTTTTTTCGAAATCTCTCAGATTTTTTTAGATTTTTCCGTATGTGCCAGATCTTCAAAAATCCAAAAAACTGTTTTGTAGGATTTGTGGCTGCGTGCTTATTTTCATATCCTTCGTTTTGTTGGTGTTTATTATTAAACCCATTTTTAGCTTATTCTTTTAATGCTACATACGCCTCTCGTACAGCGTTTTCCGTTCTCCCAACAATATTGATATCATCAGCATTTGCAACTGATTTATTATACAGAGTGGACCAAAAGTCTAGAAACAGCCAAACTAACTATTTTCAACTACATTAAAACGTAACAATTGATAGATTACAACATTTTTTAACATAATGTTTACTTTATCATGTGTTCAAAATGTGCTCCATTTGTGAGTTGACAGTACTCTAATCGAGGGTAGAATGCGTCTACCACATTTCTAAATGATTGTCTAGAAATTATTCGAGATTCATCGCTAATTCGTTGCCTTAGCTGTGTAAGATTTGCTGGTTTATTTTTGTAATTTTTCAAGTATCCCAATAAAAATAATCTTCAAGATTAAAATCAGGTGAACGTGGAGGCCATTCAATTCTACCTCGTCTATCAATTTATTGTCCGGGAAATATCTCATCTAACTAAGGCCGAACATTTACACCAAAATGAGCTGGAGCTCCACCTTGCTAAGACCATAATATCTGATTCAAATTGGCCCCAAATAAGTTTCTCAGTGTAGGTACAATTTCATTGCTAAATAACATTTCGTAACTATCGTTACGTTAAATTTCCTTCGATATAAAATGGCCCAATTAACTGAGTACCTTCTATATCTGACCATACATTTAATTTTTGTGCTCTTTAAGTATGGTTTTTAAACTTTAGATTTACGTCACTCCAATACCTTAAATTATGTCAATTTATACTTCCACATAGTGTAAAGGTTGCTTCATCGGAAAAATATATTCTGTTAACGAAATATTCATAATTTTCAATTGTATCCTTCATTATCTCAGTAAACTCTAATCTACAATCGAAGTCATCTTTCACTTATTTCTTGTAATAAGTTAATTTTTTATAGTTTAAATTTATTCTTACGTCATACACGTAAGACTGAAGAACGACCTACATCATGTACTTGTGCAACCCTGTGTGAGGATGTATGTGGATCTTCTACAAAACTTTGCATTATATCTGAAGTTTTGTTGTCATTTATATTTCTTTTCGGTCTACCTGATCGATATCTATATTTTACTTCTCCAGATTCCTCAAATCGTTTTACAGTTTTTTGTACCGTCGCCTTATGAATAGGAGAACGGTTTGGGAAAGTATCATTGAACAAGTTGGCTATTTCACAAGATCTTTTTCTGTCACCGTATCCTCTTATCATTAGAATAGTAATTAGTTCTTTTTCGTTAAAATCCATTTTAGACAAGCAATTTATCTTGCAGAACTTTTCGTAACACAACTACTGTCACTTTTAGTTAATAATGCAAATGATGACCAAATGTCAAAATCACAGTATTCTACATTTAAATATTTAAATTTATTAACATCTACATATTTTGCACTGCTTTATGTATTTAAGACCTTCCAGACTACATAAAATCATAAGTGTTACATATGGTTTGAGTCGTATTGAAATTCTAATAATGACTGAATATACAGGGTGATGAATTTGAAAAACCAGTTACTAATAATATAAGAGAAACGGCAAAGCTAGCAACATTGCAAATATCAAATATGGATCTCCATATCCCAAAATAGGTGTACCTCAAATTTTGTAAAATTATTAAATTATTTTTTATTTGTTTTAAATGATTCAGACAGTTTCCCCTAAATTCGTACTCTACATTTAACTTTTTCAAGAGTTATTTTTGTTAAATTTACTAACTGATTGGTATTCCTCACTCTTTCACTGCTTTTCATCATCATTTCGTGTTAAACATTTCTCTTCTATTAATAAAGTCCTAGGCTACTGTGTGGTCTATAAATATGTGAGGAGTATCAATGCCATATTCCAGTGTTTTTTCTATAATTTGTTTCAAGGTTGTAATCAGAGAAATTTTCGATTTACCACCTCTGAAAGCCAGCCAGGTATTTTTCTACTATTCGCCCTGCATATGGTGCGATACGGTGACATAGTACTGTGGAAAATATTTTATATGCTGCGTTTAGAAGTATAATTCTTCTGTGGAATTCTGTGGAATGTAGAGCATTATTTAAAGTATTCCAATATTCCAATCATCGGGAAGGGATGTCTGTGTCCATATTTTTTTATAAGCTGCTATAATATTTGTTTTTTTTTTCTTTTATGTAGTCTCTTTTCTTCTCTTGTCTTTGTTTGGTAATGCTCTACAGTTGTCCTAGTTCGTCGAGTAATCATCTTTCTATAGGCTTCATTTTTTTCTTTTGTTGCAATCTATTATTGGATTTTATTTTCTTTACTGGTATTTGAAATTCTAGCCCTCAATGTTGAGATCACTAGGCAGTTGATTACGTCTGTTCCATGCCTGGAATATATTGTGATTATCTATTTAAAAATTATATAACCAATAAAAAACTTTGTTTTGATCAATTTTGAAGTATATAAAAAAGAAGAAGAATTCCCAAAACCTCATGAAAAAAATTGAAATTTGTTTTTAATTAAATACACAAAAATTTTAAAAAAATTAGCACCTTCACCGAAAAATAAACGCTAATAACACTAATAAAAAGTACGCTTTTTGCGAAAAAAAAAATGCATTTTTAGGTTATGCACAGTCAACCTACGGGTCTATAAAAATAGACAAGATTATTGAAAAGCCTCAGCTACGCGTTTGAATTAAAAAAAAATAAAAAATTGATTGTATCCCACCTAAAAAAAATAAAAACTAAAAAGTGACTATTTTGGTGGTAGAGGGAGAAAGGGATGGAGCGGCCGGCTAGAGCCTTATTTTTTAATCGTATAAAACGTAAAAAATGAAAAAAAAAATAAAATTCTGGCCCCGACTGCATTTTGACTATCTTAACGGTGGGTACCCTTTAGTAGAAAAAATTATATCATCATCCAGCCTCAAGAGTCCACTGCTGAACATAGGCCTCTTCCTCATGTTTCCAACCCCGTCTATCTTGCGCCGCTCTTATCCAGTTTTTATTGAGTTTTCTTAAATCGTCAGTCCATCTTGTAGGTGGTCGACCGACGCTTCTCTTGTCTTCCCTTGGCCTCCATTCCAATAACCTCTTTGTCCATCTCCCATCTGTCATTCTGGCTATGTGTCCTGCACATCTCCATTTTAGTCTGGCTATCTTCTCGATGATGTCAGTCACTCCGGTTCTTCTCCTGATGTCTTCGTTTGTTATTCTGTCTCGGAGAGTTATTCCTAACATGGATCGCTCCATTCTTCTCTGTGTGACTCTCAGTTTGGTAGCTGCTGCTTTTGTCAAGGTAAGTGTTTCTGCTCCGTACGTCAAGACTGGGAGGACGCATTGATCAAATACCTTTCTCTTTAGGCATGTGAGCAGCTCACTTTTAAAAGTTTCTCTCAGTTTTCCAAATGCTGCCCAACCAAGGCTGACTCTTCTCTTCAGTTCATGAGTCTGGTTATCTCTGCCAATCATAATTTCATGTCCCAGGTATTTATATCTATCTACGAGTTCTATTTCTTTTCCACCAATACTGATGTTCTGGTTAGGCACCAAATTGGTCATGATTTTTGTTTTCGAGATATGTATATTTAAACCTACATTTTCTGTAGCCACAACGAGTTCCTGTACCATCTCTCTTGCCATACCTAGATCTTCATCTATTATAAGTATATCATCGGCGAAACGTAAGTTGTTTAGATATTCTCCATCTATTTTTATTCCTTTTGTCATCCAATCCAAATTCTTAAAAGCATAAACTTTATGCTTTTTATGAAAAATTATATACTTGCGATTTATAAACCGCTCTATGATTTGTGATTATAAATATAAAAGGATATTTTCTGTCACCTAGTTCAAGCTATTCCGTATTGTTTTAGTATTTTATGTAAGATTATTTCAAGATTTAAGTAGTGTTCTGAAATATGAAATGAATATATTTTTTTTACCAATTTTAGGATTTAGTGATTACGGAGAGGAGATGAGATACATGTATGAAGATATAAACTTAGAAGAGGACTTAACAGAATCCTTGCATAAACTTCTACCATTGTATAAAGAACTGCTAACTTTTGTACGTAAACGACTTCTGCAAAGATATGGAGATCAAATAATACGACCAGATGGTCCCTTACCAGCTCATATCCTGGGAAATCTATGGGGTCAAGATTGGACTAATATTGCTGACATCGTTCTACCGTATCGTGATTATTCTGATTTGGATGTTACCGATGAAATTTTAAGGCAAGGCTTTACACCGCTCAGGTATGACTTTTAAAGTTTATTTAATTAATACTTAAAGAAAAACTATCATCTAAATCCGATAATATTCAGTAAAATGCAATTAATGTACTAATGTGATAACTTTAATTAATTTTTAGTGAGAAATAATAATTTTTATATATTAACTTATTTGCCCATTTCTACAATGTCTTTAAGAAACTAACTATCTCAGCCATAAAACTTAAATGAATTAATTTTTGGGTAACTGGAATAAGGTAATTAGAATATAAATTTGGCTCGAAGGACCAATGTATAAATTCGAATGTAATATAAATTCGAATATAAATCCGAATGTTCTTATGCCCAACTTCTCAAACGAAGATGTGAAAACATTCGAACTCGTGAAATAAAATTTATTGATAGTTAATAAATATAACTCGACGTCACTTTAAACAATCACTTACTTACTACTTGATGAGGTAAGTATTCTAATTGGCCTTCGTGCTCAAAAGCGTTTATAGCCCAATTTAAAATATCAAAAATAAAACATTCCTGTTCTGAGGCATAATCGTGTTTCTATGAGCTGTATGGTTTTAAAGTCTATCAGTAGAGTACTATCTAAAGTCTATCAGTAGAGTACTATCTGGCGTGTAGACCCCCTTCTCCTTTATCCGGTCTTGGAACCGGCAACGGTTCTGTCGAGCTACTGGAGTGAAGATGAAGTGGCAACCTTCTATAGAGGTATTATTCTGCCAATAAACAAGTAGAATTGCTTATAAAGAGGAAGAAGAAGAAGAAAAATAAAACATCAATTTATCAAAAAATCAATTGGATTACACTTTGTAAGTTATATCCACAGAAGGAACGAGAGGCATTTTACGAACAATTACAAACCATCCTGGATGAAATACCTCATGAAGAGCCCTTAATTCTTATGGGTGACTTTAATACACGAATCGGAAATGAAATACTTCTTTAAACTTAAACTAAACATAGCAGATGCAGGGAGTGGATACAAACTAGTACTAGCAAAAATAAGAATGAAAATAACACCAAAACATTTTCTGCAGAAAATCACCGAGGAAAAATTCAATGTAAAATCACTGTGGAACGACTCTACTAGAGAAATGTACCAAAGGAGGCTAGCACAGAAAATACAGCTGAAACAAATAGACGACATCGAAGACATAAACGCGAGCTGGGAGAAAATTAAAAACAACATTGAAGGAGCAGCAACAGAAGCTCTGGGGAAACGCAAAGTCATATTGAACAAAAGACACCATGGTTAAGAAAAGAAATAAAAGAAAAATGTAATGAAAAACGAGAGGCCTGCACGAAATACAAAATATCAAACACTTCAAAATCCCGAGACACCTATGAGAGAATACGAAATAAAACAAAGCAGTTGGTAAGAAGAACAGAAAATAAACACTGGGAACAGTTTACAAAAAGGATAGAAAGCGACTTTTATGGTACACAAAAACAAACAAGGAGATTCATAAGAAACCATCAGAGAGAAATGGCAGAATTAATGGAATACAACATACCAGCAAACAAATGGGAAGTATACCTGACGAAACTGTTTAAAGGAAACGAAAATAATAATCAGCACAATAACGTACTTGAAAAAAGACACGAAATAGAAATAAGTTTTTTAGAAAATAGAGATAGCCATAAATTCACTTAAAAATATAAAGTCACCAGGAGTAGACGGAATAACCAACGAGCTTCTAAAACACGGAGGAGAAAGTATAACCCTAGAGATAACAAAACTTATACAAAAACTAATATTGCACTGCAAGATACCAGACGCATGAAGAAACAGCATAATGATACCAATATTCAAGAAAGGAGATAAAGAAGACCTTAACAAATATAGATGTCAATATAAGGTTGAATGTTCGAATAATTAAGCTTTGAGGGTATACAAGGCAACTATCGAACACGGTGATTAATTTAATCTTGCCCAAGTACTTTCGATCAATAGATCATCTTCAGGGGCATCTGAAATAAGCCAAGAAACCAACAAAAAACGTTTCTTGGCTTATTTTAGATGCCCCTGAAGATGATCTATTGATCGAAAGTACTTGGGCAAGATTAAATTAATCACCGAGTTCGATAGTTGCCTTGTATACCTTCAAAGTTTAAATATACAGGGTGAGTCATAACTATTGGGACATAGACTAAGGATAGGTTATTTGGATCAAAACATGGCTATTGGGGGAAATATGCCTTTATAAAAATGTTGCTGAGAAAAAAGATACAGGGTGTTAAAGTGGAAATTTAAAATTTTATTTTTGGCTATAACTTTCATGTTTGTAAACATTTATGTATAAAAATTTACAGCTGGGTACTATTGAATATCAAAAATTATAATTTGATGCATACTTTAATATATCTAATAGAGGGCGCTACATATGCCACATACGTGGCATACATTTACACTTAACTTTTTTGTTCTTCAAGTTACCGGTATTCTTGATAAAAAATATTAAAGATACGTTATTTTACCAAAAAAAAGGTATACTTGTTAATAACTTCAAAACTCAACAGTTTTCGAGATAATCGCATTTTACAAATCAACTGCATAATTCTGATTTACGCAATTACTCCAGGCAATGAAAGAAAAATAGATAAAAACATCAATACTTATATTAAATAGCATCATTGGTTCTAAAGAAACTGCTGCAGTATTTATTATAGTTGTTTTAAGTATAATAAGTAATTTTTTGAAATTTTTATTAATAGTGAGATAATAATAATTAAATATTTATTATCTCACCACAAGAATATTACTACCACGAACAATCCAACGTTCAGGAAAGTGTATTTAAGTACTGTCTCACTCCGCTTTCTCTGTAATGTAATGGTGTACCATCTTGCAGAAACCACATATTTCGCCTTAAGTTTGATAACAATTCTTCCAATAAATCAATAAAATCATTTTATAAAAAATGTAAGTAAATCTCGACATTCAATTGCAAGGTAATTCTCATATCCGAAAAAAAATAATTATCAATGGTTCCAAACCATATGACATGCATTGTAAATATGAATTTTGAACGATATTTTACAGATATGCGAATTACCTTTTAATTTAAATGTTGAGATTTATGTACATTTTTTATAAAATGATTTTATTGATTTATTGAAAGAATTGTCATTAAACTTAAGGCGAAATATGTGGTTTCTACAAGATGGTACACCATTACATTACAGAGAAAGCGGAGTAAGACAGTGTTTAAATACACTTTCTGAACGTTGGATTGTTCGTGGCAGTCATATTCTTGTGGTGAGATAATAATAACTATTTAATGCATAAAAATTTCAAAAAATTATTATTATACTTAAAACAACTATAATAAATACTGCAGCAGTTTCTTTAGAACCAATGATGCTATTTAATATGAGACGATATTTTACGGAATGTATTGACAAATGAATTAAAGAAAATGGTGGACATATCGAACACTTGTTACACACTACGTTATTTAGTTTAACTATTATTTAATTTGGTTTGTAAATAAAATGTTTTGATTATGACTTTAATTTAATACAAAAGGTAAAATGTTTGATGTAAAATCCAATTATTCTGTTATTTTATCAAATCCTATTATTAATTCTCCTGCTGATATATTTATTTTATTTAATATTTCGTTAAATATTGACTTTATTAAAGGTATTTAATAACAAAATTCAGAAGTATTGATGTTTTTATCTATTTTTCTTTCATTGCTTGGAGTAATTGTGTTAAATCAGAATCATGTAGTTGATTTGTAAAATGCGATTATCTCGAAAACTGTTGAGTTTTGAAGTTATTAACAAGTATACCAGTTTTTTTGGTAAAATAACGTATCTTTAATATTTTTTATTAAGAATACCGGTAACTTGAAGAACAAAAAAGTTAAGTGTAAATGTATGCCACGTATGTGGCATATGTGGCGCTCTCTATTAGATATAATAAAGTATGCATCAAATTATAATTTCTAATATTCATTAGTACCCAGCTGTAAATTTTTATACATAAATGTTTGCAAACATAAAAGTTATAGCCAAAAATAAAATTTTAAATTTCCACTTTAACACCCTGTATCCTTTTTCTCAGCAACATTTTATTAAGGCATATTTGGCCCAATAGCCATATTTTGGTCCAAATAACCTGTCCTTAGTCTATGTCCCAATAGTTATGACTCACCCTGTAGATGTGTATATTTACTAAACACCGTACTTAGGCTAATCACAAAAGTCCTAACCAACAAAATCAATATACTAACAACTTTATCAGATGAACAACAAGGATTCAGATCCGGAAGATCTTTCATAGACGCCGTATTTGTACTAAGACAAATCACAGAAAAGGCCATCGAGTACAATAAACCAGCATATCTGTGTTTTATAGACCTGACAAAGGTTTTCGATCGCCTCCAAGTCGAAAACGTCTTACACCTACTGTATAAAAAAACATGCAATCAATAGTATGCAAACCATCGAAAACATCGACTTACATAATCAACATCTACTTACAATACAGGCGAAGATAAATGGGAAACTAACACAGTAGTACAAAGCGGAGTCAGATAGTGATTCGTTAAGTCCACTTCTCTTTAATATAACATTGGACGAAATAATACAAGCAGTACGTAAATGTCACGGTTACAGAATGGGAAAGAAAGAAAACCAAATATTATGTTATGCAGATGACGCCGCATTGATCGCTCCGACAGAAGACGAGCTCCAAAGATTAACACATACCTTTAATATAACAGCCAAGAAATACAATATGATAATATCAGCATAAAAAAACCAAATGTATAACAACCTCTAATACCCACTACGATATAAAATCGAAATTGATGGGAAAATAGTAAAGCACGAAGCAAGGTTCAAATATCTGGGAATAGATATATATATATATATATATATATATATATATATATATATATATATATATATATATTTTAGTGGATTCTCTTGGGCTTAGGTTCATAAAGAAAATTAGTTTGATACTAAGACATTTTTATATATTTTTTCCGACGTTTCGG